TCTACTATATGCCATCTTCTAGAGAAATGTTTGCTCTACAAAACTGCTGATTTCAGAAATTTCACAGTGCGTTGTTGCGAAAATACAAGCCATTTTTTGAAAAACACGAAAAAAAACTGTTGCATGCTAGTGACGGCGTAACTTAAAGAGGTTGTTTTTCTTTCTGTTACTAAATGTAGAATTCATATAAGATTTTGTAAGCTACAGTTTTCTCAAATGATTGTCATTCTTCTTTTGCTATTGAGTGTGAATTTAAAATATGCTTTCTCTTAATTACCAAAAGATTCGGACTTTTGTTGTTGTTGTTGTTTTTTAAACTTTAACTCTGTCATCTCTCCAGTCCAATGGCCACTGCACAGTGGACAATTTTCCATAGGCACATGGACATTTATTTCAGAGTGATTCGTTGAATCGCAAAATTTGTTTTTAATAGGTTTCGTGTGCGCTCTTTCTTATGGCATCCGTATCCCAGCTAAAATCTGGTTTTGTGGTAGTTTTCCAGAGATCCAGTCCCTTGGAAACCTTCCAAAACCACTTTGAAAGTTTTTCAACAATACTGTTAGATTCGTTATGACCGAAAACCTATAGAAAACTGGTTTTCACAATTTTCGAACGCTCAGGGTGCCGTACAAAAAACAGCAGCTTTAACTTTTGAGAAAAATCTTGGAAAATCTATTTTCAGAAAAATTCAGCATACATGCGTTGAAAGCGGTAAAATAACACATCATTAGATGCAGTTTTTGATGCTGATTCCGAATATGTCCTTACTTTTTAGCTAGGATGCTTTTTTACTAAGAAAAACGTGAGAAAATGATAAAAATCCAGGGTTCTTGTAAAATCTACAACTTCGCCCAGAAATGCTTGGGCAAGTTTGGGTATTCCATCTAGACGTGCCACATACAGAGGAACAATTGCTGAAAGTTTCATTGAAAACAGAGCTTGGATGTGGATGGCGTGCCAGCTTTACTGGGCGCATGTTTCCGAAAGACATCTCGTGCGGATAAAAATCATGTTCTTTCCTTTTCGCAAACCCGTTCGGACAAAAATTCTTTTATGAATCAATAGCCAAGTGCGCAGCTTTCGGAATATATATGTTACAATTTTTAAGTGACTGCCTATTTGACAAGACAAAACGATTTTCGTCGAGTTGTAGCAAAAATCCAAAAAATTGGGACTTACCCATCTCGACCACTTAAAGCATTTGGGTCAAATATTTTTCACCATTAAATTGACCATTGGCTAGTGTATATAAAACACTATTTAAATCATTAAAAAAGTAGCTTTCGTTTTTCACCTAGTTTCCATGTGACTGCCTACTGTGCACTGGAATCAAGTCCCTCCCCATTGCATCTGTGCCCAAAGGTACCGAGACAATGAGCATTAGATACCTTGTCCAAGACTATCACGCGACCGCCGATGCCGGGATTTGAACTCCGTATATTTGAAGTACGTTGTCTGCCTACTAGCCGACTAAGCCACGCTACTCATTAGGACTTCATTATTTATATCTAGAATAATAACATTGATAGGCAGGATGATTGATGGTTATATACATGTATGACTGTTTATTTTATTATTATTTATTTTAGCCGTTTTATCATGTGTTACCAAGTGATCTATTAATATTGAATCAGATACAATTGGGACAAGTATCCGGTTTAGCAGCATGTGTTAAAAATCCAAATCGTTTAATTGTATTTCATCGTGGTTCAAGAGAATGGACATCAGAGTATGTTGTATGCTAGCTGAGTTTTGTGTATTAAGGCTCCCGCTCCCCCAGGGGAGGACAAAGCCCGATTTTTGAATTTCTCATTTACTGGTTTCTGGTACTTAACAGAACTTTAAAGTCCGAGAAATCCTTGGAAGGTTTCTTAGAAATCCTCATTTCTATAAAAAATAGAAGCATAATTTAAAACCGGACTCTGTCAACTCCTATCTATAAATGTTATCTACAAATCAAAAACAAAAAATTTCTCTATTCGGTGTATCGTTACCGAGAGTTCCTGTGCGCAGCGAAAGCCTGAAGCTAAAAAACAGTCTTAAGAAAAACGCAAAATAAGTTTTGATTCTGTTAAATGCGTTTTACTTAAAAACTGTTTGAGCGTTAAACAATTTGTTAATATTTTGCTAGAGGTTATCGGTCATGGCGGATCTAATGTACATGTGCGGCACATGCGTGCACTTATGCAATACAAAAAAGCCATTTTTTTTTGGTATAGGGCTTCTAGAAAACTCGCTGAAAAGCTATGAAAACCTATCCAATCGACACAAAAAGCATGGCATTAGAAAGTAGACACTTTGTAATCCAATAGATTATCCAACCATTTGCTTTTCTCAAAATCAATACTTTTGACCAAAATCGGCATTTCTGACCCGGGAGGAGGGGTCCTTAAGAAAATTATATTAGTCAGATAACAGTCACTATTTTGAACTTACTATATTTAGATCGTTTCCCGATGGTAAAAACTTTGATAAAGATAAATTTGGTGTTATCAAAGAGAATACAATATTGACAGTAAATACAAAAAATGGTGAAATTATTAATCAGTGGGGAAATGAAACGTACGTCTAATGTTAATGAATTTGAGAGCAGTTATTTTTAATAAATCAAGTGAATAATGATTAAGGTATTCCTCACTCATGTCGAAAATTCGAGAGAATTTTTTGCAAAAAAATTGCAAAAAACTCAGCTCCGTTGTTTTGCAAAAACCTGTAGTAAAATTTTCGTGTCTCACTTAACATCACACGTATGAATTTCTTCGGCGATTTTCTGCAGAAACAAAAACTTTAGGAATAAAACGCAAGAAAATATCATCGTTTTATACAAAAAATATTATTGTCTATGATAACAACAATAAAGCTTTGTGTGCTCAGACAATCACCGGATAGGCTCATCGAACCCGTCCACAGACAAAGCCTCATGGCTCACCTCCAGGTCTGCTGCCAGAAGATTGCGATGCCCGCAATCTTCTACAAGATAAGTTGAGTCACTTACGAGGGAACATATCCAACTGTCAAATCGAGCCGAAACCTAGTGGGCTATAGGTAGTCGATCTTGCTGATTCCGAATATGATAGCCGTTTTTCCCCATAGGCCTTTTCTAACAGGTTTCTGATAAACTAGTTTTCCAAAAACCTCGAAAAATCCCAAGAGTTTTTCTAAATAAGTTACAACTGTAGCCCGCAAAATTCTGATTAAAATGAGGCATTTCCCAGCTCTATATGACCTTTCTTTGCAAAGTTATGGAATTCACAAGAAAAGCCCTAAATGTTTATTGTCACCTCAGAGCTACAGAAAGAAGAAGGAAAGATGAATTTAGGGCTTTTCTTGTGAATTCCATAACTTTGCAAAGAAAGGCCATGTAGAGCTGGAAGATGTCTCATTTTAATCAGAATTCGCGGGCTACAGTTGTGACTTATTTAGAAAAACTCTTTGAGATTTTTTGAGGTTTCTGGAAAACTAGTTTATCAGAAACCTGTTAGGAAAGGCCTATGTGGAAAAACGGCTATCATATTCGAAATCAGCATGATCGACTACCTATAGTCCACTAGGTTTCGGCTCGATTTGACAGTTGGATATGTTCCCTCGTTAGAGAAATCTCTAAGTAAATTTCCCGTGGAAAATGACCATTTATATTAATATATCGCTACACATATTCCGCTTTTTCGAATTATACACTAGTTACAAAGACTCATCGATGATTCATTGCAATAAGTCATCGTTTTTTTGCATTGTTAAACCAAAATAATTTTTGCGAAAATTTTATTGAAAAAACACACGCAGTATAAAGCAAAACAAAGATTCTGCAATAACAGACAAAACACTATCGTTTTCTTGTTTATTTTTGCACGATAAAACTACAGCGCAAGCAAACGCGTATAAGAACCAAGCGTTTTCTGGTGCTGCGTTGTGGGTAGAAAAGTGCCAAAAAACGCACATTTCTACAGAAATCGTTAAAAAAATGTGACATGAGTGTATGCTAAAAAATCTAAAAGTTCTAGTACTAATTTTAGTGAAAATCTTGAATAATAGAGTGTGAGACGTCCTTTTCTTTTTTTAGATTTTCGATGCCACATGGTCTGTCAATAGATAAAAATGGTAATTTATGGTTGACCGACGTTGCCATGCATCAGGTAAGTTTTATTTGTTTTATTTTTTTTTTGTTGCATATTTATGCTGTAAAATACACTCATAGATATTCAAATATGACACAAGTAATCCACGTCAATTAGTGTTAACATTAGGCGAATCATTTGTACCGGGATGGGATGAATCGCATTTTTGTAAACCGACAGATGTTGCTGTTAGTGATGATGGACAATATGTCTACGTTGCTGATGGCTATTGTAATGGACGAATTATTAAATTTGATTCAAATGGAAAATATTTAACAGAATATAAAATGCCCGCTAATCAACGTACGTTTCGTTGTATATCTGATGCTAAATAAAGTGTCGTTCACAGTATGGTACGTGTCTGTTTTCTTTTTAGGACAATTACTGGTTCCACACAGTTTAGCATTAATTGAGTCATTAGATATTCTTTGTGTGGCTGATAGAGAAAATGGAAGGTACGTCTATGATATAAAGTTAAATCTGTTTTTCTGCATCTTTGGTGAGCCAATCCATATTTTTCCCAATCTTGGGAGTTATTTTATGGATCAGACAGAGAGAAATAGATTTTGTTTCTCCAATTAGGTATAATTGACCAAAATAGCCAAGATTGGAAAATTCAACACAATTCTTTTCTTTTTCCATGGCACTATCGGCTCTCACTTTTAGCTTCTTCGGTAGACTAAGAGTCATGTGCAAAATCCTGTAGCAGATTGGGTCCTACTCTCACTTGAAACACTCGCCAAACTACAATAACATCAACAATAAACGATCAAAATCTTGAAAATTTCATCGAGATAACTAATACCACCCTGCATACTCGAACACAACAAAAGTATAATCTTTCACACAAAACAAGCTATACATTCGTTGAAATCAAATCCGGATATTGTCATTATTGATAGAAGATCCAATTAACGCAAGTAACCGAGAATAAGTCTCGAGACCAAATCATCAAATAATACTAAACACTATTCTACTGCTCTCCAGCATACAGTATAACAATCTCTTACGTTTTTTGCAGTATCCATTATCTAATTATATTTTTAATAGTCCACTCAAACCAATACAGCGGAATTTCATTCACAACTGAACAACATACCAATAGACAAACGAATTGTATGGCTCTCCTTTGTCCAACTATTACATTCTTTCAATGTATTAAACTTTGATATTCAATTTTTATTTGAATACAGTCAAACCTCATCAACTAGTTTAGACGTGACACGACATTACCGCGGAGACTCGTTTATTAGAGAAGAAGAATAAATGAGCCTGGTTTTGTATTTTGTATATCATATCGCGGGAGGGGGGGAGGTCATTGTGAGAGTGAGTTCGAAAAGTAGTTTCACACAAAACACATTTTCATGCGCAACTAGATATCTGTGACTGTGTCAGATAATGACTACTCACCACGTAACTTCAGTTAAGTTTGAAAACATGATGTACAAAATACAAAACCCGCCTCATTTATTCGTCTTTTCCAATAAACAATTGTTCGCGGTAATGTCGCTGTATCAGTTTAGATATACTAGTTTATAAACATCACCAGCAATTATGCTGGCACTTACAGACCAACTGAACCACACATTTTAAATCAGCCCATCATCTTTCACTCATTTGAAACAGCTCCTACACTCCATCATATTGTGTTATCTCATTTGTATGTCATCGAATCTGACTCGAACACCATCTTGACAAAATTCATAATTTTTGAAATAAATACAATATACATATCAATAAAAACTGATGCTATCCAGAAAATAATCCTCAGCAAGCATTATCACTACCTAACAATATTCTACAACAACTATTTATCTTTATAATTAAGACAATCTGAATTCTTTTAAAATAGTTCTTATTAGAACTAAAAACACAATAGACAACGAAAAGAATTTTGTTGAATTGTCTACGAGTTAACACAAAGATGTTACGAGGGAATCGCCTGAGCTGCTGAAAACCTTTTTGAATGGGACTATTTTTAAAATGTAGGCCCTGTCCTCATGAGCTATAAAGAATCTCAACTTAATTAGGGCACAATCAGCTTTGTTGCTGAGATATCGAATTTTTATTCGAATTTTCGTCATGGCACCTAAATTTCAAGCAAAAACGGGATTTTTTCCCGCAGCGGTGAAAGAACTTTTTCAAAACTTGCTCCATGTTTTACCTTTGGTACTCATATGGAAAAAGTTCTTTCACTACTGCGGAAAGAGGTTTCCAGCTTGACCTTTTTTCATCGGACTACAATTGGTCTGGGCTACAATATGTGATACGTTATAACATGAAATTCAAAACTCCGTTTTCGCTTGAAATCCAGGTCCCATGAGGAAAATTCGATATCTCAGGACCAAAGCTGATTGCGCCCCAACCAAGTTGGGTTTCTTCATAGCCCATGAGGGTCTACATTTTAAAAATAGTCCCATTCAAAAAGGTTTCCAGTACCTCAGGAGGTTCCCTCGTTAGCACTTCGTCCTAATAAGGTCTTCAGTCCCAGCACGTTTTGGGGGAGACATGGATTATTCATTTTCCGTATTTTGTACGTTACTATAACTCATCTGTTTTCATCTGTTTCAACGTATCAATTTTTCTTCTCATTTATACTCTAGGATTGTTTGCTTCGATGCTGGTTTAGATTCACAATCGGATGAAGGTCAGATACAATCAATAATTAAACATCAAAGAATGAAAACTGTTTATGCCATTGCTTACGATCAAAACAATGGTATGCTTATGTTATAGAAAAACATTGAAATATATATAGTTCTTTGTGTAAGACGACACTCATACAGGGATTATCAAATGTTCTGCGCAAGTCTAGTTGCGTTTATTGGTAAAAATGAGTGTTACTTAACCCTTTGGCTGCGGGTGACACAAATATGCGTCACAGTAGTTTCCAGATAAATCAAAACTCATAGATTCGGTTTCGTGGCAGCATTTAGCAAGCAGTCTTTCATGGTTAGAAAGGCCATGTCAATGACTATCTCAAAAAATTGTCAAGATCAGACATGTTTTGGCCGAGTTATGGCGAAAACAATTTTGTTACAGCGGACATAATTTAAGACACTTTTAGTATTTTGCGTTTTCTGACCTAGAG